GCCTTGTCCAAGAAGCATGCACCTGACTCAAAGCCACCAAATGGCTTCTACTATGCTTTAGATTGGGCCCCATAGACATCATGAAAGTAGCCACAACTTACAGACTCATAAAGCTGAATGGAAACCCAAGCGCTAACTATCCAACTCCTTGCCAGTGCAGAAACTGAGAACTTAAACATCTATAAGTGATGACCATTCAACCTCAATTTAAAACCTTCCAAAGACAGACCACAACTCTTGAGACAGTCCAGTCAAAGGTGGGCTCTATATAAGTACAGAAATAAGTGAGAGGACTGTTGGATCAGTGGTTTCCAAATGGAAAGTCCTTGATCTCCAACTTGGAGGCAGAGAGGGAGGGGGATGACTAGAATCTAATTTCTAAAGCCTAGTTTGCAAACACAGCAAAATGCTGCTGTTTGTTCTCAATACAGTTGGAAGAAAGGAGTGGCTGGCTGGTAGCTCCTCACCCACATCTGGAACCCAGATTTTTGACCATATTTCAGCCAAGGTAATGTAAATCTTGTACAAAATTTCCAACCCTTGGGTAAAGGATACGCTTTGCAGTACAGTATATCCTGAAGAAACACTGTAGCTCCTATGTAGATAAAAAAATCAATGTTATTGCACTTAATTGGCTCCTTTCTTAGCAGCCATGTCACACCCTGGAAGTGTCTAGAGTTGCCACTGCTGACCCTGAATGTTTGGTATTGGGACTCCTTATTGTGGCTTTGGTGTGAGTCTGTGTGGAAAGCAAATGGCAGCTATTGACCCTACCCAGCATCCATGCCATCTCAGGATTAGCATGGGGGCTCCTCCCATCTGGGGAGTTTAGAAACTAGTTTTGAAATGTGTAAAACTCCAGTGGAAATGTAGCAAATAAATGATGATATTGAGTTTAAGATGAGGTGGGTGTTCAAACATTGCTGGAGGGCCTCCTCAGCAGTGGGTCTGGAAACTGCTCTAAAAGTAAGGAGCACTCAAAACTAAACATACTATTCTTGAGAGCTCATTCATGCCATGGCAGGGCTTTTTCATTTGTGGTTACTTACATTCAGTAGCAGACATTGAACATAGTGTCTGACCTGGGATTGGAAGACAGCTATTCATTCCCTCAAATTAAGGTTGGTTTTGCACTCCTTACAATAGTGGCTGGTATCTTGTCAGTGATGTGATGAGTTTGGTTTTAGACCAAACCCAAAAATAGCTGTCCAAAATGCTGAACCCTAGCCCCCTCAGATAAGTTCAGAACTTTGGACAGCATCTTTATACCCAGAATGGATTCATTATCCTCCTGACATGGAAGCCAATGATTGTCTTGCTTCTATCAAAATCTCCAGTGACCCGGAGGCACATGGAGCAGCCTTAAAGTTGAAAGTAATCAAATTTTGCCCTACACATTGGTCTGTATTGATGATGGCCAAGTCATAATGTACGCTGACCTGACCTCCTTGGAGAAATTGGAGGGCTACAGGGAAATTATTACAGAAATATTAAAAGTACAATCTATACTTTTAAATGATAGAGTCAATTAAGGAAGCCACAGCCCATGGTTTACAAGACCTGTGTAGGGCTGTTAATGACAGTGTGACTTGGAGGTCAATCATTCTTAGGACTGCCATAAATTGAAGTTGACTTGAAGTTGACTTGACCACATTAACAACAATGACAATCCATACTTGCAAGCCTTTGATATCTATCTTGGATAACCAAGATACCACCTAATACTTGTGATTTTCTTTGTGTGGCATGTGAATCTTATTCTGTTAGAAAATCCATTGCAGACTAAAACAAGTATGAGAAATGGCAAAGAAAGGCTTCAGGAGGAAGAAGGACAGCGAGAAGTCATGTAATCCTAGTTGGAGTTTACAATTAACTCATATCCTGAAGTGAATGTATTATTTTGCCAATCTGGTCAGATTTTAGACCCTACCAAGGAATGCTGACAAGGATCTAGCAGTGATTCAGGAGCCTTTTCTCAATTCTGAGTGCAAAAGGCAATGGATTGACCAAGAAAGCATTTCCCACCCTCTCTAATTTTCAGTGCACATATAATGATGCATCAGAGCTATAAACAGATGGTATTTGGCCTCCTTCCTGTTCTCAACATTTGGAATTCCTAAAGTACGCAAATTAAACAATAATATTTTATAAACATACAATGGATTTTGCTCACTGCTTTGTTAACATAGACATTATACAATGCTGACATTTATGTAAATTTTGAAAAGTAAACAAGAGCACATATTTGAAATAAAGCAATGGGAATGAGCATGGACGGATACACACACATACCTCTGTACAAGACAGACAGGCCTTGCAGAATGGGATGAAGAACAAATTGTAATTTTGGCAACATGATTTTTTGTACTCTAAAGGCAGGTTTTACGCTTCACTGTAAACAAGGGATAGTTAGACCATAATTGGCTAGTTGACTAGCAGTATTCATTTGACTACTTAACCTGGTATTACAGAATTAAAAAGAACTGGCCAGCCCCGATTCCTTGGCTGCAGGAGAGAATATCCTTTTTCTTATATATAAATATAAGCCACAACTTGGGCTGGTTTTTGAACCAGGCAAGGGGCACCAGATTCCAGCAGCAGACTTTTGCAAGTTTTATTCCCTTTTTCTTCTGTGCACGTTCTTAACTTTTTGGGGGCAATTCTGTCTTTAAACAGCAGCGAGCATTTACAACAGCAAGCAGGCAGCACTCAGGTTTTTAATCTGCTCTCCTAAGTTTGCTGACACAATACTGATCCTTAGATTTTAATCATTGTTGGGATTTTGAAAGGGCTAATTACCACTGTTTGTAGACAGGCTGTTCTATTTAAAGCTCCACAAAGGTCAAGCCCTTTGCACGGTTCACTTGCCTGCCCCTTTCTTCGACCTGGCTCCTCTCTCTTTGTCTTAATGCGCCCCTAGATACCACATCAGGAGAGGAGGATGAGCTCGGTGAAAGCCCTGAGGAGTGTGCATATGCGTTATGTGCTGATTTAATGTCGGGAGTGTTGTCATTGGCGGGCTAAGGTTCGGCAAGAGAAGTTCTGACTGCCAGCCGCATTCTGATATGCAGAAAATGGGGGGAAAGGCACCTCACACCCAAGGCTCCCTTGCCAATTGTGATGGGTCTAGATTTATAATGTCATAGGGTCAGACTCTGAAGGCTGATGGCTTTTATGCAATGTGGTGGCAGACCTGTTTTAGGTTTGGGAATCCTGTCCCCAAACTGGGTTCAGAACCTTGGATGGCTTCTTTTATCTTCAGGGTAAAACTCAGGGTTGATTCACATGGGAATTACCAGCTCCCACTGGCAGAGTCGAACTTGGAAAATTGACTTTTAAAGACTACAACCAAAGACCCCCAAAAATGAGGAGGCAGAATTCTTCCAAGCTCTGCTGCACAATACAGTTCCATCTCTGTTCCTTTGACCTTTCCAAACATAAAGTGCATTAAGGTTGTACTTGCAGGAAGGTGAATGCACAGAGGTCCTGGGCAAAGCTGCACACTTCGGTGTATACCAGACCTCTTTGCAACAGGCCCAGAAGATACAGGAGAAGGAGTGAGGCAAGCCAAAACAGCCCACCCTCCCAAACAAATCTGGATGTTAGCTCTTCCCCACTTCCCCTTCAAATCATTACTGATCTTCAAGCATTTAAAGACCACTATTAAGTGCCTGAGCTGAAGCCAATTCATGACATTTTTAAAAGCCCCCCCCCCCCACCTCCCTTCTCTTATTCCTTTCTTCCTTTTAAATTGCTGCTTCTATTTTCCTGGCCTACTCTCCAAGAGCTCGGGATCCTTCCAGGGTAAAAAGCCAAGTGGATGCACAAGCCAGAGAACATAGCTGTGAGCGACAAACACCAGCACATGCTCACCAGCCCAGCCTGCTTCAGAGAGCTCTACCTACAGCCGGAGGAGGCCACCTTTTCTGGCTTTTGTTAGCCACCAGCCTTGGAAACTACAGCACTCCCCATTAACTCCTCCAAATATTTATTCTTCCTGCTCTTTTGCTCCTGGTCCCAGGGAAAGTTTAGTTTCAAAGAAACTCTGAGTGGATGGGGGAAAAAATAAGTTTTTCCTCTCTCCCTTTTCTTCTCCCCACCCTTTTCTTTACAGTCAGGTTAAAAGACAGTTTCAAAAGAACAACAACGTTGCCTGCCCTTTTCTTTTAAAATAGTTTTCACTTCATATATTAGTTGGTTGATAATAAAAATGGCAACCGATTGCACAATGAGTTGCAAATGACTACTTTTAAAGGGGTTAGGTATACATCTAAGCAAAATTGAATTGATTTGGAAAAAGGCAGTACAGGAAATAAATTAGAGCCTTGGTTTTGTACTGAAGGCATCCAGCCTCAATTCCTCAACCTTCCAAAAATCCATCAGCCACTTTACTTGACAAGCCTACCTGCCAGGGTTGCTGTGGGCAGAAGAAATGCCTGTGATTGTGAGGTCTGTGGAAGAAAGACAAGGGGGAAATGTATACAAGTAAAATGTTCAGAGGCTGTTTCACCCTTGAATACTGCAAGATGATATGCTGTGAAGGTGGTTGATCTCTCCTACCTTTCATTAAAACAGCAGCTTGTATTACAGCTCTCCCTGGACATATTCAAAGTCCTTCCAATCTGGTCCTAGCTCTATTGATTTAGACCTACTCAGTTTGGTGCAGTTGTTGTTGTTGTAAGTGCCTTTAAGATGACTGCAATTTATAGCAATCATGTGCTTTGGGTTTCTTAGAAGCATGACATCAACCTGTTGGAAGGGGCCTCATGAGCCTTCAAGTCCAGCCCTCTGCTCAGAGCAGAATCTCCAGCAAAAGCATCCTCAACAGGCAGTTGTCCAGACTTTTTTTTTAAGAATTCAAAAGAAAGGGTCCCCACACTTCTCAGTGTGATCATGCCATCTCTCAGTCTTCCCCTCATGACTTTGAACATGCCTAGTCCCTCAACGGTTCCTTCTTTGGCAAGATTGCTTTTGCCCTGATCTTAGGTTGAGAGAGTATGACATACCCATGGATTTCCACAGTTGAGCAGGAATTTAAACCCATTTCCTGGCTTTCTAGTGCAATGGTCAAAACACTGCACAACACACTGCACAGCAATGTCTCTACATGGACATATGCATTGGTTAGAATTACAGCCTACCTTTTCTCCACAACAACACTATGAGGTCAGCCTCAGAAAATGATTAACCCAAAGTGTTCTAATAAACTTTAAGGGCTAAACAAAAACTTCACCTTGGCTCTCTGAAGTCTAATCCACTACTAACACTTCACCAGATTTTTCTCTTTCAAGAAGATATTTTTAATGAGATTATTTTTACACCACCATACTATCCTGAATACAACAAATCTTGTTGTTGTTGTTAGGTGATCCCTCATAGGTGATTATCTTCCAGATGTGGTGTCTTGGCGGTGGGTCAGTAGGTGGCTGTGGAGCCCTTTTCTTGATCTGCATCTTCTCCTGAAGTGAGGACATCAGTTTCCAGACAGAAGGCAGTCCCAGTCGGAGCTGGCTTGATGTGCCTTCCTCTTGGCATATTTTTTCCTTTTGCCCTCCATTTGTGCCTCTTCAAATTTCACAGCACTGCTGGTCACAGCTGACCTCCAGTTAGAGTGCTCCAGGGCCAGAGCTTCCCAGTTCTCAGTGTCAATGCCACAGTTTTTGAGGTTGGCTTTGAGCCCTTTTTAAAATTTCTTTTCCTGCCCATCAACATTCCGTTTTCTGTTTTTGAGTTTGGAATAGAGTAACTGCCTTGGGAGACAGTTACTGGGCATTCTGACAATATGGCCAGTCCAGCGGAGTTGATGGCGGAGGAGCATTGCTTCAATGCTTTGCTTCTTCCAGCACGCTGACATTTGTCTGCCTGTCTTCCCAAGAGATTTGCAGGATTTTTCAGAGGCAGTATTGATGGAATCGCTCCAGGAGTTGTGTATAACGTCTGTAGATAGTCCATGTTTCGCATGCGTATAGCAGGGTTGGGATCTAATCTAATCCAAATCTAATCCAAGTTCAAAAGTCAAACAAGGGCAGGCCTGAGAGTGTGACTTATCTGAGGCCACCCAGTGGGCTTCTTTGCTGAGTGGGAACTTGAACCCTCACCGCCTTGAACTGCAGTCAAACCACTATACCATGATGTCTCTCTTCCATGGGCTTGTGCATGTGCCTCTGGACTTACAATGACCTCCTGGTTTTTTCTTGGGCTACAAATGATCTTTCTTTCCTATGAAATATTGCCCACAGAACCAGGGATTTGCTGGAGGTCTCCGAACCAAATACTAGCCAAGGCTGATCCTGCTTAACTTCCAAGATCAGATGGGATCTTACTTTCCAAAAAATATGTGACCGCTTGTTACCTTGAGCTACACTCTCTGGTGTGCTGTTAAGCCATGACCGTGGGCTCTCCAAACCTCTGCCTCCTTGTTCTTATTTTTTATGATATCAATTTCTTTAAAGAAAGATCCTCCTGGCTGGCCTCATTTAACCTCGATTTCCTTCTCCACCTCACCCCCCCAACTTGCTTTCATCCTTTTGGCCCGGCTCGCCTCCCTCATTCCTCAAAGCCTGTTCAGCGCGTCAGCAATAAACGGAGAGGCTCTTCCAAAGTTTAATGCGCCTTGTTAAAATTCCACTCCCTCTTTTCTCCTCCTGATTAGAAATGCTTTTGGATAGCATTTCTGCCTCTTTGAGTTGGGATGTTCTTCTCCCGTCCCTTCCAACTCAACCAAATGTTAAGTCAGGCTGGCTTTTTCTAAAGCTGGAGCAAAGACAGCGGACTTGGCGTCCTCCTTGCCTCGGGAATGGTCTTTCCTGGCAGGAGTCAGAACTCAGGGTTTTGGGTTTGTTATGTGTGTGGGGTTTTTTTCTGCTGTGATTTTCACATTAAAATGCAAAGCTGGTTTATTCAGTGGCTTCCTCAGAAGCAGTTTCCTTTGCTATCTTCCCAGGAAGGATCCGGGGAGCCGTTTGCAGAAAGGGTGGTGCTGGAAAGGCAAGATGTTCTGTAGGGTGTGATGATCTATTTCCAACAATAGCCAGGCCTACGAGTAGAAGAAAATATCAGAAGTTAATACAGCATTGCTATTTATTACCCTATAATTAAGGCACTGACAGTTTTCCTATTATAAAACCTTATTTGCAAAGGTTCATAACTCAAGAGGCACAAATTTCATTTCAAGATAATGTCTGGATTACCATGTTGAAGCATTTAAAATATTTTAGTAAAATGAATTTAATCTGTCACAGGCTTCCCATTTCCCAGTACTTGTTTTGCAATTTCTCTCCCCTCTACACACACTTTTGGGGTTTTGTTTTAATTGAAGTGCATTTTGTAACAGCAACTATTAAAGAAATATGTTAGGTGTCCTAAGCGGGAACATTGCACAATGGGACAGTTTCTTTAGAGTGTGTGTGTGGCTTTCTTTCTTTCCTTCTTCTTTCTTTCTTTCTTTCTTTCTTTCTTTCTTTCTTTCCTGAAGGTTGTAAATTGAGGTCCCTGGAAGTAAATGCCTAAGAAATTATGCCAATTATAAACTCTGGGTTTCAATATTGCTCAGGAATCTGTGGCCCTAGTTCTGAAAGTGTGGTTACAAAATAAGCACACATGAAAAAGACCTCAGGTTTAGCCACCCTGGTGTTTAAAAAGCTGGATGGCAGAGGATAAAGGAAGAAATACAATGTCTTTAGAAGTTAAACTTGGAAAAGATTGCTTTTCCATTTTTTTCGGCTTTCAGAGAGAGAACAGATAATATAGGTGAGCCAATGCCTGCCTAGTGCCTTCCAGCTGGGTTGGACTGCAACTTCCAGAATCCCGAAGCCTATATATTATATATCATTATTATAACTGTCCTCTGGATTCTGAGAGGTGTAGTTCTCAAACCCAGTGGCAAGGAGGAAGGGCTTTTGATGCAAGGATTTGCAAAGTTCTCACATAAGACCCTTCCAGGCAGTTTTTGACATAATAACTGCAGCTGTTTGCTTGGATGTTGCATAAAATATAGTGTCACTACAATCTTATTAAGTCAGTCCTCCACATCCATGGATTCAACCATCCATGGTGTGAAAATATTCACAAAATGTATTTTTTTTTTAAAAAAAATCAAAAAACAAACCTTGATTTTACCATTCGAAATAAGGGAGACCATTTTAGGATGCCATTATAATGGGAGTTCAGCATTGATGGATTTTGGTATCCACAGGGACCTGGAACAAAACCTCAGCAGTTCACAAGGACCTACACTATAAAACATACTTTTCATACTTTCTCATACTATAGGGACAGTATTGCCATGTAAGCAGGGTAAAGTTCTGTGTATATTTGTATGTTGGTGTTTGTGTCAGCGCACAGGGTAGGGAGGATAGACCATGGAGACAGTAATTGGTGTTTCAATAGTTGTTGTTGTGTCTTCACATTTGACTTATGATAATCCTAAAATGAATCTATCATGAGGTATTCTGTGGGTAAGAGTGTGCGACTTGCCCAAGGTGGGTTTCATGGACAAGTAGGAATTCACCTCTTGGTCTCCCAGTGTCCCAGTCCAACACTGAAACCTCATCACATTGGCTCCATATCTGAATAATACAGCACAGCAAAATCTTTTCAGGTATTTCCTTTAGAAGGGATTGGGAGGCACTATTTCAGAGAGCAAAATGTTTTGGACTGGCACCATTGCTTCTGATAGTAATTTGCCAAGTAGTCCAGATCTATGCCATGTACTCAACAGCAACACATTAGCTGGAATCCTGGAACTCTACATAATTATAGGAATATATTCCTCTTTAATTGCTATAGCTACATCCTATGGAAACCTGGGGTTTTTGGTTTGTGCAAAGGCCCCGCAGGAACTCCCTGGGTGAGAATTCCAAATGCGACTTCTTAAACTACAAATACCAAGATTCCATAGGACTGAACCACGGAAGCTAAAGTGCTATAAAGTGGGTCCTTGGTATCCATGGCTGCTCAGGTTCCATTATATTTAGTGGTGTGGTAAAATGGCGAACAAATCTGGAGAGACCTTGAGGATCCATGAAATGGTGGGATATCTGCACATCAGCACACTAGACTTTTTGGATTTGTTTCCTGAATATTTTCAAGCTGTGGTTGAGTGAATATGTAGATGAGTATCGAGAGCTGACTGTACTTCTGTAGTATGAATGAGTCCCTCGTGATTTACATGTGCTAGATGACCATATATGTCTTATTGAGGATTATTGTGAACAGAGTTACTGAGTACCTCTTTTCTGGATGCCTTTCCACCTTGGAAACCTGTTACACAGGGCAGATGCAGACTTTGTTGGCCGTTTAGTCCCTTGGGGTCGAGCAACTATACAGTTATAGCCAGACGAGAGCAACCAACTCCCTTTGAGGGCGGTTCCAGAAAGGGAAGAAGTCTGTGCCGACCTGGGTTTAAGAAACCTTCTGTCCCTGAGTTTAAGAACGTTCTGTCCCCACGTCAGCCCGAAAACCTGCACCTTTGGTGCTGGATGTAGACAGATGAGCTCCCAGATCCTTTCGGGAGAACACCCAGATGTCCTTACACCCTCCCCAACCTCCTTTTAAAAACCGCTTAAAAATAAAAGAACTTACAGGGCTGGCATTTCCCTGCTGCCGGCGCTCTCCGGCACTTAAGAATGACATGCCAGGAGAATGGGGCCAGGAGTGATTTACCACCTCCCCCCCCCCTTTTTCCTGGCACGTCATTCCTATGCACCAGGAGAGCCCTGGTATTATGCTAATGGTAGCCGGGTAAGTTCTTTTATTTTTAAATACTTTTTGGTGGCTTGGGGAGGGGGTTAGAGCTATGCTTCTGAGGGGCCAGTATAGACTCCGCCCATAACGGGAAAGATGTGGGTATTTCAAGAAGATCTGCTTCTTTCCAGCTGACAAAAAAGTCACCACAAAGCACAGTTTTCCTGCTTTGTGCCGAATGTACTCACTTTTCTGTGGGGAGTCATCTGGATGCCCCACTTGAAGAACCGGGAGAGTGCACATTTTAGGGCCTGTCTGCATGGGTCCTGAGAAGTCTAACGTATTTGGCTGTTTGATGACAGCTACAGAAGAGCAGCTGGATGTTTCCATGGTTCTTGGGTACCCGGTACCTTGTTTTAGCCCAGAGGTCCTCAAACTAAGGCCCGCGGGCCAGGTCCGCCCCCCGAGGGCATTTATCTGGCCCGCGAGATGCACTGGGCCGCTGCAGGGAGTGCGCGCCCAGTGGCTAGTGCAGGGAGCACACACCCATGGGACAGTGGAAGGCGGGTGCTCCTTGCACCGACCCTCTTCTCCCACATGTTTGCCAATGCCGTGAGAGGGAGGAAAAAAGGGCAGTCCCTTCAATGCAATCCGGGCAGTGCTTCCTTCTTAGTCAATGCAAGAAGGAAAGTCTGTCCAAGAATGTGCAAAGAAAGAAGAAAACTTGGGTAAATTAAAGGGATCAATCTGAGAAAGAAAGCAAAGCAATCCTAACTGCTCCTGCTGCTCCAAGCAACCAAGCTCTCCCTTCCAACGCTGCCCGGTTTTGCAAAAGGGAGGAGGTGAAGGAGTGAGCCTAGGTTACGCCTCCTGCCTCCGGATTGGCCAATGGGGAAGCCGGAGGCATGGCTTCACGTCTCATCCACGCTCCATCCTTGCCTCGCCTTGTTCAGGTTGCCTTCGCTTTCTGGCTTTGGGTCAAGTTACCAGGGAGAAGCGCTGGGTGTCCCCTCCCGCCAGGCAATCAGGGGGCGGCATTCCAAAAAACCAGGCACAAAGGAAAAGTAGACAGGCTCTGCTTAAAGGGGTCACGTGCATTTCTTCCCCTTCTTCCTGAAGTAGCTGAATTCAAACTGAATTAATTCTACAGTGCAAATGCACCTTTGATCACTGGGTTGCTGTGAGTTTTCCAGAAGCATTCTCTCCTGGCGTTTTGCCTGCATCTATGGCAGGCATCCTCGGAGGCTGTGAGGTCTGTTGGTAACTAGGCAAGTGGGGTTTATATACTTGTGGAATATCCAGGGTGGGCCAAAGAACTCTTGTCTGTTGGAATCAAGTGTGAATGTTTCAATTGGCAACCTTGATTAGCATTGAATTGCCTTGCAGCTTCAAAGCCTGGCTCCTCCCAGCCTGTAGGAAGCCTTTGTTAGCAGGTGTTAGCTGGCCCTGATTGGAGGCTGTGCCTGCATCCCTTTAAGGGCCGGCAAGGAGGCCTCCCCAAGAAGCTGTGCCTGCAGGAAGTGGGAGACAGCCCAGTGGGTGCCCTTCCACACAGCCATATTCTGGGTTATACAGCTGTGTGGAAGGGCACCCAGGCACCCTGCACACATCTCTATATCCCAGAAAATCAAGGCAGAAAACCCCACAATATCTGCTTTGAGCTGGGTTGTCTGAGTCCACACTGCCATATATTCCAGTTCCAAGCAGATATTGTGGGATTTTCTGCCTTGATATTCTGGGTTATACGGCTGTGTGGAAAGGCACCCAGGCCCCCTGCACACATCTCTATATCCCAGAAAATCAAGGCAGAAAACCCCACAATATTTGCTTTGAACTGGCAAGGGAGGCTACACCGCACTTCCTGTTCTTGTGCGAAGCCCCTCACAAGGCCCAATCCCCTCACTTGCCTCGTGCTGCCAGTCACGTAAAGCCCTCGCCGCTTCCATTGCTTGCCAGGCCTGACTGGCAGCATGAGGCAAGTGAGTGGATTGGGCCTTGCAAGTGACGAGGGGCTTTGCGCAAGGCCGGGCTGCGCAGTGCAGCCTCCCTTGCCTGGCTTGCATGATGGGCAGCGCAAGGTAGGTAAGTTGCACTGCACAGTCTAGCCTCACACAAAGCCCCTCACCGCTTACAAGACCCTATCCCCTCACTTGCCTCACGCTGCCAGTCGGGCCTGGCAAGCAATGGAAGCAGCGAGGGCTTTGCGTGACTGGCAGCACGAGGCAAGTGAGGGGATTGGGCCTTGTGAGGGGCTTCGCGCAAGGCCAAGCTGCGCAGTGCAACCTCCCTTGCCCGGCTCACACAGTGGTCCGGCCCTCCAGCGGTCTGAGGGACAGTAATCTGGCCCACTGT